ATAAGTGAGATAATCTCAATTAAACAAAGACAAAAATGACGTCATCAACAAAATACATTTGTTTGAGTTTAGATGCAAATATGATGACTTTGTTTCACTTTGTACGAGTCAGGGTGGTATGAAATCATATCTCCAACTCATGCTTTCTCCAACCATGATATAAAAATTGGGGGTCGATGGACTATCTGAAGAGCTATTTCGATTTTTAAAATGGCATGTTTTTGATCAAATTTGCATTATATTACCCATAGCAGCACGCGCGGATTTTGAACTTTGACGCACGCTCACGGCCTTATGAAATATGAAGAGTGACTGAAATTAATGTAAATTGTCAATTACGTTGAGAGGAATCTAAATCATGTAAACATTTTGAATTTGACCTTTTCCGCGCGCTGTGAGCGCGCACACCGCGCGCGGGGACACAAACGGACGGAAAATTTTGAAATGCTTAAAATGACCTGATTCGTACCCTCGTTTAATAGTTAAGTGATTTTGAGCAATTTTAAATTTTGACGCGCACATACGCGCGCGTCATGACCTTTATGTGACCTTTGATGACATGACCTGTTGACCCTTGACCTGAAGTATATGTTATATTAATATGAATGACCTTTGATGACGCGTCATGAAGATATGATGGATAATGTGATTTCACAAAATGGCGCCTGGATGACGTCACGATAATTTGATGACCTTGAAAATGTTCCTGTCACGTTTCATAATGATGACCTATAACTGTGTCAAAATTGAGAGAAATTGGGCGGATGGATATTGAGAAATCGGATACACAAAAAAGTGGAGAAATAAATAAAAACTAGAATTTAAATCGTCACGAGGACGATTAAGGTGGTCTGTCTTCAAGTCTTATGATAGATTATAATACTTACTATATTGAGAAAGGGAGAAGTTATATAGACATGTAAACAATGATGATCATCATGATGATCATGATGATGATGATCTTGATAGTAATGGTGATGACGATGTTGATGATGATGATGATCATCATGATGATGTTGATGATGATCATCAACAGACCATGATGACATCTGATTGAAAAAAATGAGGGAACATTTAGATAGCATATAGTCTCAGCTACAACATACTCCAAAATCAACAAAAACCAAACGGAAATAACGGCGATATTGCTCGCAAAAGACAGGAATGTAGAATCCAGATTTGAGAAAAAGTCATCTCCCATAGGGACTACACTCAAAAAGTAATGGATCAAGTGATAATAGGGGAATAATAAAGTAAACATGGTTGTTTATAACATTATTTGTGATTCTACGTGTTTTAATAAGCAAAGGAAAAGGTACAGTGAAAGGTCAACAAGAAAAAAAAAGTGAAGAAAAAAATTGTTGGAGACGCCCGGACTCGAACCAGGGACCTCGAGGTCGGAAGTCAAGTGCGTTACCGATGTACCAAAATATTTCCCATAGAGATTACACGTAAACGGAAAATGAAATTATCAAATCCCACTTTGTAAGTGAAATATGAGCATGATCCCGGCATCTGATCGAAAATTAAAGGGCACATTTACGATAGCATATTGACTCAGCTACAACATACTCAAAGCTCAGCGTAAACGAAGATAAAACGACGGAGATATTGCTCGCGAAAGACAAGAATGTAGAAACCAGTTTTGAGAAAAAGTCATGTCCCATAGAGAATACACGCAAAATGTGAAAAATTGACATGCCTCCTTTAATCGCAAAAATACGCCATGATGCCATTGTTCAAATGAAATATCGTGGGAAATACATTTGTAGAGAATATTCTCAGCTAAAACATATCAAAATTTGAAAGAAAATTGATCAATATTTACAGAGATACAATCAATTTTCCAAAAATCTGCTAACGTCATAATATGCAAATTGAAATTTTAAGTTCGGAGGCCATTATGATGACGTCATGAGTTAATTGAGGGTCAAATGAGACATGAAATCATATCTCCGACTCATGATCTATCTAAATATGAAAAAAATTGGGGGTATCTATCCATTCTGAAGAGTTAAAATGAATTTTGAATAGGCTTGTTTTTGCACATGTAATGTGGATAGGGATAATGCAGATCCGCGTGTGCTGTAAACTTTGACGGACGCTCATTGCGTTATCACTGGTCAGAAAAAGGTGAACAAGGTATCAAAATGCTTGGAAAAATGTGGTTGATATGATAGAGAAAATTTGGCGTTTCCATGTTGTAAAATGTCAGTACGCGCACTTACGCGCGGAAACGCGCGCAAAAAAGTGCTCTCGCGCAAAATCTTGAAAATGCTTACAATGGCCTGAAACGTGTGCAAAAAAAAATTGGAACGAATTTGAGCATTTTAAAATTTTAATGCGCGCGTACGTGCGCGTCGAGGTGCGCGCGCAAATTTTGTTGACATTTTTAGTTGAACTTTGACCTGAAGTTGATGTATACCAAATATGGTTTATTTTTGAAGACTCGTTATCGAGATATGATAATGACTTGATTTTTACAAAATGGCGCCTGGATGACGTCACGATGACCCCATGAACTTGAAAAAGGTTTCGGGAACTTGATATTATAGGGCCTAATGACTATCAGAAATTTGAAGGAAATTGACCAAGTCGATTTCGAGTAAACGTATACACAAAAAAAGTGTACGGAAGAAATAAAAATAAATAAAGAAAGAATAAAGAATAAAGAAAGAAAATTCTAACGAAATCAATAGGTGATCTGTCATCGACAGACCACCTAATAAATAAATAATAAATAAAGAAAGAAAATTCTGACGAAATCAATAGGTGGTCTGTTGATAACAGACCACCTAACTAGAAATTTAATTCGTCACGAAGACGAATAAGGTGGTCTGTCTTCATGTCTTATAATAGATTATAATATTTACTATATTGAAACAGGGAGAAGTTATATAGACATGTAAACAATGATGATTATGATGATGATGATCTTGATAGTAGTGATTATGATGAGGATGATTATCATCATTATGATAATGAACATGAGCGTGATTCTGACATCTTATCGGAAAAATGAGGGGTGATTTAGATAACATATAGTGTCAGCGACAACATACTCAAATTTGGGAGAAAACTGTTGAATAACAACCGAGATACTGGTCAAAACACATTGTCATGCAGATTCATGTTTTGAAAAAGTGACCTCCCGTAGACATAACACGCAAATATGTCAAATTATGCATTGTCGCCTTTAATCGAATATTTAACTATGATGACGTCATCCAAATGAAAAATAAATGGCATAAATTTAATAGAGAATTATCTCAGCTACAACATATCCAAATCTGGGAGAAAATCGATCATCGATAAGTGAGATAATATCAATTAAACAAAGACAAAAATGACGTCATCAACAAAATACATTTGTTTGAGTTTAGATGCCAATATGATGACTTTGTTTCACTTTGTACGAGTCAGGGTGGTATGAAATCATATCTCCAACTCATGCTTTCTCCAACCATGATATAAAAATTGGGGGTCGATGGACTATCTGAAGAGCTATTTCGATTTTTAAAATGGCATGTTTTTGATCAAATTTGCATTATATTGCCCATAGCAGTACGCGCGGATTTTGAACTTTGACGCGCGCTCACGGCCTTATGAAAGGTCAAGGGTGACTGAAATTAATGTAAATTGTCATTTACGGTAAGAGGAATCTAAATCATGTAAAAAATTTGAATTCGACCTTTTCCGCGCGCCGTGAGCGCGCGCAACGCGCGCGGAGACACGTACGGACGGAATATTTTGAAATGCTTAGAATGACCTGATTCGTACTCTTCTTTAATAGTTAAGTGATTTTGAGCATTTTAAAATTTTGACGCGCGCGTACGTGCGCGTAATGACCTTTATGTGACCTTTGATGAAATGACTTGTTGACCCTTGACCTGAAGTATATGTGATATGAATATGAATGACCTTTGCTTATGCATCATGAAGATATGATGGATAATGGGATTTCACAAAATGGCGCCTGGATGACGTCACGATAATTTGATGACCTTGAAAATGTTCCTGTCACGTCTTATGACAATGACCTATGACTGTGCCGAAATTGAACGACTTTGACTAAACTGATCTTGAGTTATCCTCTGAACAAAAAAGGGGGGGAGAAATAAATAAAAATAAATAATAATAATAATAATAATAATAATAAATAAAGAAAGAAAATTCTGACGAAAACAATAGGTGGTCTGTTGATTACAGACCACCTAATAATAATAAATAAAGAAAGAAAATTCTGACGAAAACAATAGGTGGTCTGTTGATAACAGACCACCTAAAAAGGGGAAAAGAGAGATACACAAGAGTAAAACGTGAAATGAGGACAAAAACGCAAATTATCATTATATTAAGTTTCATAAGGCATTTTAAAAATAGATACATTATATTAATTATTAAGTTTTGGTCACCTATATAGCTCCTTCGCATATGTTGCTTCAGGATTTTGTAGCTTTCATGTTCTATTAAAGGATATCGCTGTAAAATAGCGTTGTTAAAGGTTCCAAAACAGAAGGAGAGAGAAAAATAATTAAAGATAATTAATCGTTGTTATACTCCCTATTATCTTAGATTATTCAGTCATTTTAAGGAATTGCCTTCCCCTCCTAGAATCTATAAAATAAAGCATGTACAATTGTATTCGAAAATGTTGTCTCTTTAAAATTGTCGACAAATTTCCTGAATGGGTTCCGTTAATGTTGCGCCCCATTTGTGGAAGTAACACCGTAATCGATGTTCGAAATATGAAATGCAACTTGTCGATTGAAGTGCTCCCTTTGTTCCTGTGAAGTTGCATATCATTTTTTAGGAGGGGGAGGGGCGCATATGCAGTGTTTGCCCCTGGCGCCGTAATCCTTAGATACTCTACTGTATAGGCCTACACCAAATGAAGCAAGTGTATATATTTGACTGTCTTCTAATATTTCAACATTTTATATTGTCTTCCTGAACTCTAATGTCATGTGTTTTTTAACATCTACATCGTTAAGTTATTCATGTACTTCAACCGACCACAGAGCTGCCCTGTTATTGACATTCAAGACTCTCAGGGGAAAACACCACTGCATCTGGCCGTAGAAGGTGGCTTTTCTCAAATTATTGAGGCCTTGACCAAAGCCAGAGCAGACTTGAACATCCAAGCCAATGACGGGAAAACCTGTCTGCATCTGGTTGTAACACTGTGGTGTGGTCCTGAAAATCCTGACAAAAAGGTCCAGACAACCAGTGGTTTTGAGCAGGTAATACATTATTCAAAACAGCTGTTCAAAACCGCTATATTAACTTAAAATGTAATCTTTAAAAATATTTGATTAAATAATGCTAAATGACATAATTCTTTTCCCGTTCCCCCGTTTCAATGTATACAGTTACATCATTTTTCTATTTCTTTTTTGCGAACTCATTAAATTTCTTTTCGTTAAGTATTACGTCTATTATGAGACAATCACATCTCACAATTGAAACAGAAATAAATCAAATTAAAGCTTCATTGAATAGTTCATGTTTTGTTTAAAATAGATATTTGATTCATTTTCAACTTATATTAACGAATAATCACTCAACAATTTGCTAAACATACGCTTACACAGAGAAAAAAGGGCACAAGCATCCAAATAAGAAAAAGTAAAACAAAAATAAACAGGATTAGTATAATACATTTAGGGTACTTACAATAAATAATGTAACTGTGCAAAACTGCGTGTAAATGATCAGGCATCTGTGGTTAATCTGGACAATCATATTACGTTTTGGTACGTTTAGGTTTCATCAGGATTACCTGACTACGAGCCGTGCACCGAGAACGAGAAGCTTCTTCTGTACCTCCTCGACAAGGGAGCCGATTGTACATTGTTTGATGCGAGTGGTAACACACCGATACACTACACAAACACACACAGACTCTGGCAGCTCGTTGTGTCAAGGTAATTACTTAAAGGTGTACCTTTTACTTGAACAAAATGTGATAGCTACAATAACTAAAATGAACCTCGAACCATCAGCCCCCCCCCCCCCCACAAAAAAAAAGGTTCGGTTTTGGGAAGAGGAGAACAATAATTTGTAAGCGTTGTAATTGTGTTATGCAAGTGTGGAAGAACATCAGATAACAAATGTTCCGTGAAAGGCGTGGCTCTTCAAATACCTTAATATTCTAACTATGGCATGTAACATCGGGACGGATTTTATACCACATGTTCGTGTAATCCTATATATATATCTTTCTGTTCCATGGTTGTATTTTTACTAAGACTGTGCCAAATTTCACATGATTTTGATGATTCAAGAACCTTGCAATACAGACCAATATTTATAATTATCAACCTATTCTGATCGATTCCACAACGTTTCTTTCACAATGCAATCGCATGACCAGAACTCAAATTTATCTTTAAGTTTGAATAAACTTGTAGTAAATATCCACAACATATACACGCTTCTTAAATTTTACATTCAATTGAAATATTTATCATGATTCACATTTTATTGTATTCTTCTCTCTCTCTTCTAAATAGGATACCGGAAGAAGAGCGCAACGATCAATTGGATAGTAATTTCTTTTTATCTAAAATTCTCAAAAATTAATTTCAATTCGTAATCAGTCCGTTTTAGCGATATAACCATGACCCGTTAAAAAGAAAAACGTTTGAGGGGTTCTTGGCATGAAATAATTCGTGAATGTGAACAACACACTCATTTTTCAAAAATTTCAAATTAATAATTGTGAAAATGTATTTCTTGCTCATAAATTTCGGGTTAAAATAGTTCTGTAGGGGTGTCTTATTTTAAAGAGTAGTGACAAATTGTGCGTTGGTCTAGCGGCCCGATTACTTGGTCAGCTCTCTGTCTTTGCCTACAAAACTGGCTGAGGCGACACCGGCTCGAAACTGAGGCCCGTCTTTCGGATGGTGACGTTTAAGATCGGTTCCCATAAGTAAATAATCATTTATGATGTGTACACGTCTTTAAAAGCCTAATTAAACACACGCACGCACATATTCCGGTGTATTTTGACTTGTGAGTATTAGGTGTGTGTAATCTGTATAGTTGTTAAGAAAGACATATGCAATCAGATCAGAAAGGTCGAGTTTCAAATCCCGACCAGGCACTAACGTCTTTTGGATATACGTAAATTTGTATTGTTCAAATCTCAACCCATGAATTATTGGCTACCCGGTATGATTGAGCACTAGTTACTTTGGCAGCTCAGCTAAAATTTACTAATTGGCAACTACCATGATATGTAATGAACTCATGTAAAATAATATAAATTTTTAAAAAAATATCGTAATTTAATTGCAGAATTGGATGTTGAATCAAAAAGGATAAATAGAACTGTACAAACAGTTATTGGTCCGGAGGGGGGCGAGATGCATCTCGGCAAGTTTGACGTCCACTTAATTGTACCAGAAGGTGCACTTGACAAAGACCAATATATATCTCTGAGACTACTTGAGACTTTTCCAGTTCCAGGCATCCAAGGGAAAGAGATGATGGCAAGTTTTGGTGTAGAACTCAAACCTGATGGTTTAAAGTTTAGGCATCCTGTTCAAATAAAATTGCCTCATTGTGCCAGCATTGTCGACACTCCGGATGTTACAGTAGTACTTTACCATTTCCAAGGTATGTTCATTCTAGGGTCCTTCCAGTCAATGACTACCAGACTATTGTATGAAAGAGACAGAACAAGGAAAGAAATGTTATAGAATACTCATATGTGTTTTTTAAATATGCATATTGATTATTATATAATTGAAATAGTTCAACAATACACACTTTGTTGTCAATGTTGCAGAATCATAGTTTGAAAATACATTCAAAGACAATACATAATTGTGTTGGCAATGGTTGTTTAAACACTACGAATTGAATAATACAGAATATAGTTCAATATGGTTTGCACTCATTGAAAAGTAGAGTCAAGTTCTGGTCGTGTTATTACATCATCAAATAAACTGTTTGTGAGGAATTCGGAAAAGGTAGATGATCTGCTTTAGCAAACCACATTGTACTGTTTTTAACGAGTGTACATCGTATTTTGAAACCGTAAAAATAAGAGTACCCCAGGGATCTATTTAAAATCGTTTTTCAAACGCCCTCATATTTATAAGTCATAGCCAAATATTATCTGACATGTTTGGATCAAAATCTTATACCGCATATCTGCGTAGTGCTATTTCAGAGTGCGGTTTTCTAAAATAATGAATCAATTTCTCGGTGATTAGATGATTAAAGAACCTTAAAGTAAGCACCAATTCTTAGGTGTTACATGAACAGCTTGAGCATAACGAAGTCCCAGGTGGTCACTCCTCTTCTCCTCCGTCTACGTGAGGCTTTTCCTCACCGTCAGTGGAGCTATTCGAATTCACACGCAGTCCCATATTATGTCAAAATATATTTTAAAACTGAACTGAAGTCTAACCTGTTACTGATGTATTCAAGAGCACACACACCGTTTTGTTATACTCAAATAAAAAGTCCGCCATATGGATCGAGTTCAGAAGTGTTGTTTGATAAGGAGTTGAGATTTCTTCATAGGGTAATGTGTTATGTGGATGTGATCCGACCTTTAGCGGTGCGGAGGAGCCTTCAATAAGTAAGATTCAAACCATTTAAAAGTTGTGTCTCTGATATCATAACATTGCAACTTTCTAAATAAAAAGATGAAGAAAGTGAATCAAAGGCTTTAGAAAGGTCCATAAAAACACCAATAACATGCTTATTATTATTAACAATTTGGTATTATTTTAAACTGGATCTCAACTAAAACCATATCAGTAGAATGGTTGGTACGAAAACCATATTGACCATTAAATAAAACATTATTTTCTGCTAAATTTATATATAATATATTGATAAACTAATCTTTCAATTATCCTGGAGAGCCAGGCATGGCAAGACATATATGGGTCGATAGTCAGTAAAGTCCGACGGGTCATCTTTTCTAAACACAGGTATTACATTCGATTTTTTTACATTTACTGGGTAAATAGCCTGTTTTAACGATACATTATAAGCATAAAGGAAAGGTTCAACAATGGATGGCAACGTGTATTTCACGACATTTGGACTATTACCATCTATTCCACAGCGTGTGCCTTCTTTTAGATTCTTACACATATTCAATAGCTCTAGCACAATAACTGGTTTAAAAAATAGTGTGTGATCTAAGCGTTTAGGCATATAACAAGAAAAATCATTATCACACACCGAATGGTCTTCAGAATGTTAGAACTATAACATCCATACAAGGACTCATTCATTTTTTCAGCAATTTCTCGAGCTTCACTCAAAGCACTCCATTTATACATACACGTATTGGGTTTATTTACGGCAGGATATTTTTCTTCCGAAGACCTCATTGACAATTGACCTAGTTTTCTTCAAATTACTTTTGACTGATTCAAATCATGATAATACTTTCTCTTAGAACGTCGTAAAATATAATTAACATCATTGCGACACCTTTTATTTGTTATTTTTCTACTTTCACTAGGATTTTGTAAAATGTAATATATATAATTTTTTTTTCTTATTAACTTCAATATTTCCAAGGTGACCCATGGCTTTTGGGCCTTTTTCCCACTTCGTGCAATTAGTGAAGGAAAATATACATCATACCATTTGTTTATATTTAGGTTCTACTTCCACATTAACTGCATATGAAAAGAATTTAAAAGGTAACAAAGCATGTACATATAATCTATAGATTCAACAGTAAAAAAACGATTTAATGGCAAGTAATTAAATACAAATGATGCTAATAATAATCTTCAGTAATGAGAAGGAAACATTGAAAGCATTATGCTTGTAATTACGGTTCCCTTTCCATATTTCGTTTGTTACATAATATATAAAACAAAAAACAAAACAAAAGAAAAACAAAAACTGGTGTGTGGTGCAGCCATAATAGCCATAATAATACCGATGGTCTCTACCATGATGACCTTAAGCATTTTCATACTGAAGTAGAAGTTTGTGTTTCAAGTGATATATGAAAGTAATTAAACTGGGCAGCTGTTTGACCCTAAAAAGGCCGGGCTATTTGAGGTCTTGATACGATCGGGGGGGGGGGGGCATTATGCCCCCTCCTAAGATCTCGGCCGTGAAACGCCCGATCGCCGCGAAAATATGCACGCATGTCAAGTCAGGTGTATAGAATATTAAAAGTTTAAAGTCACCATTGATAAATGAGTTTGAACTCTTTTTTATGGGGATCATTCACAATGTTATCAAGGAATGATATAAATAGTAAAATATTGGATTTGGGCTGACAGTAAGTAACTATTACAAATATGTTTTGGGAGTGTTTTGCATACAATTTCGATACCCAGAACTTCAACACCGTCACACTTATCTTAAAAATGTATGAATTTGGTATTGCAGGTCATCTCGTATGATCACTACCATTATTATTGTTATGTTACTTTTGTTTTAACTTAAAGGAGGCAAACTCAAGACACAGGAGGTAACTGCAGGAAATTTGGCCGACATTCCTGCCTGCACTGTACAGGAAAAGGAGCTCAAATTACACATCGACGAGTTCTGCCTCTGGTTTCCTATCTTCAAATGTTTGATAGGAAAAACAATGAACTGCTTTCCTTACTCAAACGGAGCATCTGTTTGTTCAGCTAACCTGCGGTTATACTTGGCGGTTGATATTAAGGGTGTAGAAAAGGTAATTACTATGGACTTGTTAATGTTGTGAAGGTGTTATACAAAACGATGGATTGTTTGTTATTCAGAGTATAGTCCCTAGTCTTTGAGTGATGATGATTTAATATAGCGAAGACGATGATAATTACAATATTAATACACTGTTGATCTTTAAGGTGGAATATTTTGTTTACCCCAATAAAAGGAATGGCCGCCCCCATAAATACAAAAAAAAAACAAAGAAAATGCAATAAATTATCAATAATTCAGTGCATTTTCCCCCGGTCCCCAAAAGTTGAAAAATCCTCCATAGGGCAATGCATTATGGTTCAAGGTATGACCACACACATGATCAAAACCGTGTCGATGTGTTTATATAAAAGTACCCTTTTGTGAGGCATTAGTCCTCATTTCTGTCAGTTAAGACTTAAGGACGTAGGTCCCCTAGTTTATTAGCATATTAGTACACATATGCTTTAGCAGTCACGTAGTCTTAAACAAGAAGTCCACTATCCCTTTAATCATTTCAGATACAAATTATGTTTATATAGTTCAAAAGACTATTGTGACTACTGAATTTTAAATGCCTCTATGCAAAATTTCCAGAGGCTACTTGAAAAGGAAAAATTAACCTTAATATTAAGTGAAGAATGGGTCATTGAAAATTCGAGCAAATTCCGATTAAAATTAAGGAAGTTATTATTTTTTGAAGTTGTGATCAATCAAACACAAATTGGCAACTCTGTGACGTATTTTGCGAGCTCCCCTCCCATTTGGTCTCTGCTCACCAGTAATATTTACTATAATAACAGTAATATTTACTATACCACATTATTATGGAAACTCACACATTTTGACAACTTGATAATAACCCTGCTATTGATTTTCGTCGTTTGATAGAAAAACGGTATAAATACGGTATTTCAGTTGCTATTTATTTAGAAAATATCTTGCTTTTTCTAGGATCTTTCAACTTCTGCAAGGCTACAAGGTGCAGTACGTATTGGAGATTACAAGTCCTACTTTGTTCAAAGGAATAGTGGGGATGTGCATGTTGCTGTGATGAACAATAAGCGTGAAGAAGAAGCAGCTGAGGTAGGAACCCTTCGAACAAATCTTCTTTTGTATACTTTTTACAATAAGTTTGTGCGAAGTTTCATACGCTTCTGTATCTTATGAAAGAGCTAGGAGTTTTGTTGCGCACTCTCGCTATTCACGGGAAAAAGACAACATCGGTCATTTTCAGCGTGAAATCTGAACGAATATTAATGGCGATGGATTCTCGAGAGATGGATTTTGTGAGTGCGTGTGCGTGTATGCTGTGTGTGGGTGGGGGGTGGTAAAGCATAGAAAGGAGTCAAATTATTTCTTACCCCTATCCCACAGTCCCTTTTTTATAGACCCGGCGAGGCAATTGAAATAATGAAATAATGATTTGTTTTATCCTATTAGGAGGTAAACCCTGGACTCAACACGGAATAAAGATAAAGTATTGATTTTACTGCTAAATAATGATACTCCCTAACGGCTTAATATTGAAAAAATGTCTTGTCATGCCAGGCGACATCGCATGCTTTGAATGTAAGGGCGCATTTCCATTGACATGTAGGCCCTTTTACCATGGAGCGGCACTGTCTGAAGTCTTTTATACGCAAGATTTTTACTTGTGTACTTTTACTTTTTACTGTACAAGAACAAGATCACATTTTCAAGGAATTTTAACACATAAAAGCTTCTTTTGAAAGGCTTAAATATCTGCTATTGATAGGTTACTTTACAAATGTTCTAAACTTTGTAATCTTTGAATATTTTTCCAGCCATGCCACCATAATTGAATAAATGTAAAATGTGTCTTCTGCAAAGGAGATGTTTGTTTTAATTTTTTATTTACATTGGATGTTGTTGACTATTAATTGACCACCTACCGTGATGTATTGAAGGGAAAGAACTGAAAAGTAATTTATTTACTATATCATTGTTAAATCTTTGATCCAATTATTTATGTTCGTTTAGATTCACCTTGCATTTTGTATTTGTTCATACCATTATCTCGCAAATAACATTTTTACGAAAGCATAATTTGATTTGTTTTAATGATGTAAAAGTCAATCAGTATCGAGGAAATTCGATCCAGCAAACCGGCTCACGTTGACTTCGGAGAGCTTAAGACCGCACACTATGAAAGCCTCATCATGAGAGTCTTCCAGGTAACAGAAACAAGAATTGTGTGCAAGAATCGTAAGTACATTTTAGGGTTTTTCCCCTTTAATTCCTGTAGCACCAGGCCAAAACGCAAATTTATAACAAATTAAGAAAATGTCATTAAGAATATAATATGAGTACATCATATTAATTTAATCATTCATTGAATATTTTCGTGAGCAAAATTGTTTTCTCTTCATTATTCTAAAGTCATCTTATCTTAATTTGTTGTTTAAAATACAATTATCTTAATTCTTTTCGCAAAGCGATTGCGACAATATTTGATTTATTGTTGACAAATAAAGTTTGAGTCATTTCAGAACGTCAGTTAACAAGAAAGATTGATCAAACAAGAACTATGTTTGTGGAATGCTATTTTTGTGATCAATCAGACGTTTACTACAGCTTTCCTAAAGCAGAAACTACACAATGATACAATATTTACATCAAGGATCACTGCCTGTGAATGTCCTCAACATCGTTTCACAAGAATGCGTCTATGAAATTATTTTTTTGTCGCAAAGTTGGTTTCATTTTTACCAACGGAAAAAACGCCCATCTACTGGCATCACATTAAGATTTGTCCGGTATTATTTCATAGTACCCTATATATGTATATATATATATATATATATATATATAATTACAATTGTCTTATTTCTGTGTGTTCTCTTATCAATCTGTCATGTAGCACTTAAGAAGAAACCTGCGACAGAGGCGGCAGAAGGCCTAGACAACCTTGATGTTGAAAGGTGAGTAAATGCGGCTCGTTTGCGGCTCTCTGGCTGTGCACGCCTAAAGGACGCACACAAATGCAGTTGATCAAAATGTAGTTATCAATACTTATTTAGATAGTTATTATGGAGTTACTATGGAGTAAGTACATGCACTGATTGAACAATTATATGCAAACAAACATCGACAACCACAACGTGGTAATAATGAACCAAAAGTAATAATGAACATGTGTTGGTCATCTAAATAATTATGAGATCGAATAGTTATGAACAATATATCTAACGTAGCACACTGGAAACCTCCTCCTTACCAGGGTCAGCAAACGAAATATAAAGTAACTAAAATCATAGCCATCAACCTCTGTCAACCAGACAGAGGATCAATAAACCCTTGGATTTTAAAATAAATATTTCCCGATATTAGCATTTTCTCAAATAATAGGCTTGCCTTGGCAATTACAATAACGTCATGTGCGGTCACTGAATTGCATAATGGCAAAATGTCCGTTCCGCAGCGTTGTGTCCCAGGGAGGCCCACTCTCCCCGATTGTCTTCTTGCTAGTCCTTAAAGGGCAAGTCCACTCCAAAATAATCTTTTTTCAATAGAAGCAGAAAAATCAGATAGATCAGTAAAAAAAAAATTGAGCAAAATCGGATAACTAATAAGAAAATATGATTTTTCGAGGACATGAACAACTTTGAAAATCACAAGACAAATTGGCAACTCACTCAGAGTCTGTGACGTCATTGCCTCACTATCCACTAATTGATTCTTAATATTGATACATTTCCTATTTCCCCCCTAAGACTATTATTGGTTCAAACCAGCATCCAAGTTAGATCGATAGTAATATGTTTTTTCATTGGATGCACTGATACAGAGTAGTTTTTTTCAGTTAAACTTTTCATATAAAAATCAATAAGTATGAATATAAAATATTTAGACAAAAGTATCAATTTGTCATAGTTTATAACAGATTTTGTAAAATCTCGTGCACGCAAGATGATACAAATCATATAACCTGGGCAAAGACATAGAGAAATCAAGTTTTGGGCGATAAAAAGAGAAATTAATTGGATTGACATATTTAAAGCAATTTGTAAATAGTGAGGACATGACGTCGCAAACTGATAACCACATTGGCAATTTGTGTATAGATTTCCATTGTTATGGTTATACATATTTTTTCAAAAAATCCGTTTGTTGCTACGGCAGTCAGCCAGTGAAAAATAATTTGTTTAATAGAATTATGGAAATGCAAGCACTACTTTAAAACAAACAGAACTTTGTTATTCCTAGTTCATTTTCCTGACTGAGGTGTCATAGGAAAAGGCAGATACTCAACTTTCTGGAAGTGTGATTTTCTCTTTGAAATTCAGTTACCGTCCGCCAAGTTACTTTTTGGTTTCCTCTCTTCAAACTGATGTTTATCACTCATGCATGAAGTGAAGAGTTTCATTCCAAAAGGAGCTAAATCCACTTTGGGTACTTCTGAGTAAATCGCCTTTTTTATTTTTCCTCTTTCCCTTTAGCCATGTACCTTAATATTGCTATATATGTTAAAGATGTCACCCTGGACCAATAATATATGATAAGGAAAAATCTACCAGTTTTTCCTGATTTTTACTAAATTTTTAGATTTTTTTTCTCGTGGATTTAGCTCCTTTTGGATTGAAACATAATACTGTACCTGAAATTTTTCATATTTTCTCAATAAAGTCACTGAAATTTATTCAAATTTAGTAGCAAACCTTTCATTTTAAATAATGAAAGAGAAATCACAAATAAAAAAAACCTTTTGAAAAGAAAGTTAATAACATAACACAATTTTATTCCAAAAGGAGCTAAATCCGTTTCTTTCCAAAAGGAGCTAAATCCATCTTTCATTCCAAAAGGAGTTAAATCCACAAAATCTAAACTATTAGTACAAATCAGAAATAACTGATTTTTTTTTTTATCACATATTATTGGTCTAGGGCAACACCTTTAACATATATAACAACATGAGGGTACCTGGCTAAAAGGAAATTGTAGAAATACAAAATATGATTTACTCAGAAGTACCTATAGTGGATTAAGCTCCTTTTGGAATGAAACCGATTTGGATTTAGCTCCTTTTGGAATGAAACATGATATTTTACATACATTTTTTCATACTTTCTAATGAAATTTTCGACTGTAATATAGTGCATTTTGTCCCCATGTAGGAAATCATTATTTTAAGACAGATAACTCAATTTTGATAAAATATGGCTTTAGCTCCTTTTGGAATCAAGCTCTTCAAATATGCATTATATGAGTAGTATCAAATCAAAGAGGAGGATCTAAGCTTTACAAATATGTGTCATTTATCAATAATAATTGTGATTAAGTTATGATAAAACATCGATAATTCTCGGTTTCGTTTTTTTCTGGGACGCACTGTATAATGTATGTCATGTACAGGGCACAGGTTGTAAATACTCTTCTGAACTGAAATATGGGAGCTCAGATTTGTATAACCAAATAATTATTTTGGGGTAAAATGCAGGATTTGCAAGATGGCATCATATGCCAATAGTGTTTATGCATTTTCAGTGCCATTTCCAAGCCAAGATTAGGAAGGGGAAATCACCGACAACATAAAGTAACTAGAATTTCATTAGTCATCCCATTGGTCTATTCTGAATGATTTATTTATTTTGCAGATCTGTGCAGAAAGTAACGGACGATCAACTCATCGAAGTCTCAAAGAAAATCACCCACGCTAAATACTTCGAGTTGAGCGTCAGGTTGGGATGCTCTTTGACTTCCTCAGATAATATACTAGACAAGCACCATCAAGACTGTGAGAGAGCACTTCTGGAAGTTCTCAACGCCTGGAATCAGCGAACAACATGTAATCACCGAGACGAGCTTATAAAGGCGCTAATAAAAGTAGAAGCTGCAGGACTGATTACTGAAATATTTCCCGACTACGTACACGACCATGAACCAGCTGTGGCGAAGGATGATTAGATGCATGAAGTAAGGCGATGTGAATAACAAAACAATTAATGCCAATTTGAAAAGGATAATCACTACAGTAGTTACTATCCTTTTCAAATTTGCATGAATCGTTTTGCTATTTTACATCGTCTTACTTAACTGTAAATTAACGTAAGATCGTATTACTATAGAGTCTGCATGTTCTATTATCATCACAAGTTAACCCTCTCTACCCCCCCTCCCTCTCTCTCTCTCTCTCTCTCTCTCGTTCTCTCTCTCTCTCTCTTTCTTTCTCTTTTTTTCTCTCTCTCTTTCCCTCTCTTGCTCATTCTATCTCTCCATATATATACAAACAAACACACATGCACACTTTTTTTTTTTTTTTATTATTTTTTTTAACAATTTTGTTTTATTTCTCCAGATGTGTAATACAAACCATGACATACAATTGAATAAAATAAACGTGTTCACTATTGATGCTTTTACATAAACATAATTAAACACAAACTTATTTGCAGTATAATATAACTTAGCAACAAAGTAAACGTATAAGTACCTAAACATAATATGTCAATTGTAAATGTTATTTACTTATATATTACAAAAAAAAAACAAATCTGGAGGTAATTTTACTGAAACAATCCTGCCCCCTCCCTGCCCCCTCCATCACACAGACATACTCACCCTCTATCACACAAACATACTCACCCACTCACACACATACTCACCCACCCCCACCCACCCCCCCCCCCCCCACACACACACACAGTACTCACTCAGTGGATGTCTGCCAACATTCTCAACTTAAGAAAAATATACTAAATAAATTATAACACACATACGCACGCACGCATATACACACACGCACGAACATATATATATATATATATAATGTATATTAATGGTTTGAATATTTCAAACGTTATGTTATGCATCTCGCTCAGTTCATGTTACACTACAAACACAGTAACTTGCAGAATAATTGTAATGATTGTTTTTAATGTGAATAACGCCTCCATCCATTCGACATATGCTACAGGAAGTGAAAGCAATTTATATTTATCTCTATGTCAGACTTTTGTTGTGTTTTTGTTGAGAAGACACAATCCCATTTAGTTGTCATATTTTATGGAACCGTCTCCCGCCTAGACAGTGTAAAACAAAAACCGTTCTTCAGTGTTTTCATTTAAGGCCAAGTTAAGAATATCTTTCATAAACAATCTATTTTATTTTGTATATACACATGCATTTGTTATTGTTCTCCTGCCGGAGCTCTTTGGAAGCGCATAGAGATGTTATTTCATAACGTATTTCTCAATGTTGAAAACGATTCCCTTTTAGCAAACAATACTGTCGATCACAAGATCCGCGGTTCGAGTCCCGCCGCGGCACTAATGTCCTTTGGCAAGACATTGATCTGCATTTGCCACACTCAACCTTGGCTGCCGGAGCTAAGGCTATGGTAATCATTTCCAACCCTCTTTGGAAGAGCATAAAGACGTTATTTCATAACGTATTAGGCGCTGTCCAAGGACTGAATAGTACTATTATTGTTATATGTTATAATTCATTTTTATTTAGCTTTGTTCGTAGATATTTTCCACGGTTTATATATATGTATATATTTTTAAATTTCTGCGTACCGCTTTCCCCAATTGCTTTTGTTGTTTAAATACGTTAACATGAACTTAGTGTTATCATTCCTCTTATATAATGCATGTACTTCAGTGCAAATGTAAATATACGTTTTTATACAGAGTTGATGTGATTTGCATTCATGAAATGTATTTGTATACATTTATATATTACCATAACACTCGGTTTTATATAAAGGGGAATCATGACTGTTGAAATTATCCCTTTTTGTCATCCCTTGGATTAAAAATGAAGATGATGGTGTTTTCGATAAGCTTTTATACAAGATGTGTTAGCTGCTTCAAAAGAGTTTTGGGAATATTTACATTTAGCTCTTACATACAATATTGACATTTATATTAAAAATGCTTTCTTATTCATAAATTCATATCGAAAGGAAAGCCGTTACGAACCATTTGCATTCTTGTTATTAAAGCCTTTCCAGTATAATTAGAGGTTCCAAGCATTTAATTACACCATATTATCATGACCTCATAACCCGACTTGAAATATCGTTACAAAATTAAGAAACTTCTTTGTTCTGTTTCGTGACAATTTTAAAACATCACCATTGTCTTCATATATTCATTTCCATACTCTAACCGCAGAACTCTAAATATTCTCCATTCTCTTTCTCTTTCTCTCTCTTTCTCTCTCTCTCTCTCTCTCTCTCTTTCTATTTGTATATATATATATATATATGTGTGTGTGTGTGTGTACTATACATACAAGACGACGGAGTTTTAAAGGTGAAATTCAAAGAAAATCACAAATATGTCAACTAATGTAGTACTAGAAACTTGTAAGCTAACATATGGCCATCGTACAAGTTTTAGGTCAACTACATACCGGGTGATTTATAAAAATACAAATGCAACCACCTCCATAGCAGCTGGGATATACGAGAGATTCGCCTTGAAAAATAACGATGTTTTAATGACGTCACTTTATGGACCCATACTGCCCAAGCAGACGACATCCCATAAAGAATTAACATAATTGCAAAGCTATTATTTGTCAAATTTTAATGGGTTTAGTGGATATAAATGAAATGACATGTCAAACCATTCAAAAGGGGATATGACCCGATTCTGAAAACTAAAATATTTTGCTTGTAAATACACATGATAAGGGTTAATTAACAAACAAAGAAACCAGACTTTCCAATTGAAAACCCCTCGGAATGATACTAAGGACGGCATTTGTTCCCTCTTGGAACGCCGAACATACCGCGGTGTGTGCAGCTGAATATACAATGGCGTCTTATGTTGTTAACAAGCGACAGATTCCTTCATTTTTGTATCGCTGCATTTGTCATCAAAATAAAACCATGCGTGGGGTTTACAGTGAGGCAATAGATTATACATTTAGCCTGACGGTAGTGAAGTAAGAGAAAGAACTCAAGAGGAGATGAAAACACAGGCACTGGAAATGTGTGAGATGTCATGGGACATCGTCTGCTTGTGCAAATCATGTCCATAGTGTGATCTCACATATCTCAGTAGTGTTTGGAGAGCTCTGCAGATGCTATGCGGGGCTGTATTTAAGCGTTTTGTAATTTATAATAATCATTACTTTGAATGTTTCCAAGAATTACATTTTGATAACCTTGTCGAATCAAAGTTTCAACTTTGCAATAATGAACATAAAACTAGTTATTAAATGCAATGAATATCTACTTTAATAACGACAATGCATTATTTAAATTATCTTTGAATTTAATTTGTAAAAATGTATAAAGTAAGGGATTTATTTAAAGGAGACATAAGCTTCTCTAAGACCTTTGAGATGTTGTAACAATGAGAAAAAAAAACGAAACAATTATATAATGCTCTGTCTTTGTTACAATAGTTTGTATTTCACGTTTACTTAACGATTTATTATCTACGCCGGTGAGTATGGTGGAAACATTTGCTGATTTACATTGCGAATACATATAAATTAGTCATGATGTAAATATGTAAATAGTTATCCTTATTTCAACTTTGCATTTTAATACGCAGACACGGAAACTTATTTTTACATTATGCACACAATACTGTTTATAGCATTCTGTTATTTTTTACTGACAGTGTCAACATTAACATAAATTGGATTACTTTACTTTACTTTACTTTACAACCAAGTTCTAATCTATGAAATGAAAAAGCATTACATTTTGTCAAAATTGAACTGAACTGTATTTATACAAATTATTTGTTTTGTTTTCGAATGAATAAATAACTATGAAGAAAAATATATATATTGTTTGTGTGTTTGCAATCGTTCTAAATGGGGTTATTGTCCTCTGGGTAATTGGTCGCTTGGGCAATAGTCCTGGTTTGATTGTTATGTGCGTCATTGCCCTAAGGGGGCAGTTGTAAACAGGGGCTATCGGTCCTGACTTAAAGGGTAAATTACCAGAAGCGGGTTATTGTCCTAGTGGGTAATTGTCCTCAGGTGGTCATTTTACTACGGGCTTACCTTTGCTAGGGTGTAACAAAATGACATCACTTACCGAAATGGAGTTACCTCTGTAGTAAGAGAAAGAAAGGAAATATTGCGTGTTTAGCTTTTGATTTTATGACATGATTGTATTATTTCAAATCAGTACAGCCTGTAATGTCACAATATTGAATCCCGTGAGATAATTGTGCCAAAATTGATTTTTTTTGTGGCTAACTTTGTCAATTTGGGGGTGCTGAATCCAAAAAACTTTGGTACCATTTTTTTCGACCACGTCTTAGGCGGCCATTTTGAATTTCAAAATGGCCACCATAAAAAATGCATTTTTTACCATTATTTCGTATTATAGACATTGGAGAAGGTGCAAATGTGGGCTAAAATGTATGCTTATGATGTCTGATATATCAATACACATTTTTATAAAATTTTGCTTTATTTCGATTGGCCGCCATCTTGAAATTCAAAATGGCCGCCATTGCTAATCCTATTTTATCTCATGTCTCAAGTTATAAGCACCTGGAAAGGTTTGTACCGTAACAGTATCATAATATTGATGCTATGTGTGTTTTCAAACAAAACACAAGCTCCCAGTAACTGACCATTCGAATTGGCCACCATTTTGAAATTCAAAATGGCCGCCATGGAATAACATTTGCTATATTAATTCATTTGAAAGTACCTTAGAATCATCCATTTTGAGAGATCATCTGTATTTAAAGCTTGCAAGACCTAGCTGGTACATAGAATACCGGCTGTCATCTTGATCATCGTATATATGCCTAAACGCATCACCCCCCCCCCCTTCTTCCACCCGGGGGGGGGGGCTTAATTATAACATATAACAGTTACTGAATGTGGTGTTAAAGAAAAACTAGAAAAATAAATGCCTTGGACTGGACGTATTAAAACTTCAGTGTGCAAATACAGGCCTGTTATTCCAGAGATAAGAC